CTCGAGGTGTCTCATGTGCTCCTCCATCGACTTGCTGAAGATTAGTATGTCATCCAAATAAACAACAACAAATCGATTGATCTGACTGCAAAACACCTTGTCCATGAGACCGTGGGAGGTGGCTGGTGCATTCGTGAGACCGAAGGGCATGACGGTAAATCCGTACAGCCCATCGCGAGTTTTGAATCCAGTTTAGTGCTGGTCAACGGGGTCGACTTCAAGCTGATGGTAACCAGACTTGAGGTCGATTTTGCCGAAGACCTTGCATCCACCTGCAGTGTCAAGCAGATCATCGATGCGTGGCAAATGGTATGCATTCTTTCTTATTCTATGTTGTCCGTAGTAATCAATACACATCCGTGGTTTGCCTCCTTTCTTAGGAACAAACAAAACTGGGGCACCGAATTCGAATTTGCTTGGCTTGATCCAACCTTTTTCAAGCATGCCATTGATCTGTCTTCACAACTCCGCCAATTCGCATGAGCCCATTCGATAAACACAACCCTTTGGATGAGTGCTACCTTTTATCAACTCGATCTTGTGTTGGACTGGACGCACAGGAACTCCATGTGGTTCGGCCAAAACTTCAGGGAATCGGTTGAGAAGACTACGGATCTTTGATGAGATCTTTGGAGGTGGATCATCAAAATTGGGTGCAAGCATATCGGACTGCATAGGTGTAGCCAAAACAACAGGATTTGAAGTAGAACCGTTTGGACTAGAAGTAAATTTAGTAGAGGTAGAAGTAGTTGTATTGAAAGTAGAAACGGTATGCAAAGTAGAACCATTATGTACAACAAAAATAGAAGGTACATGAGATGGCCTAACAAAGGCTACATACATTTGCTCATCAACTTTGCACCTGTGCCACATTTTGCATAATTCCATTGCATTGAGAAAAGCCACTTGGGACTCGTGTGGCTCGTCCAAGAGGACTGGACGCTCGATCCACATGGTATCTTTGACCATGAATTATGAGTCGTTCCACGTGGTTCTTTCACATTGGGCTTGCAACCAGCCCAAGCCACTAACCGCGTCGAAGGAACACTTATCAAGGACATAGAAGTTCAACTCATGTGTGATTGTGCGGTCTGCATTAAAGGTAGTGCGCACACCTTTGACTGCATGCGTAGATGTGACAACCTTTTGGTTGCCCACTTGGGTCCGAGAAGGATTCTGCAATGTCACTTGCTTCATTCCTAAGCTTGCCTTACAAATGTCGGTGAGAAGTAGTTGGCGGTTGTGCCACAATCAACCAGCACACGGATGTATCGACCATTAATGCGGAGTTTGAAGAAAAAAAACTTTGTTTTCCCTTGCATGCGCTCTTGCTTCATGTGAGCCCAACGCAACAAGAGAGCATGAAAGTCAATTTCTTTCGACTCCACCCAAGGGTCCTTGTAGAGGATATGCAATTTCTCAGCCTTGGAATCAGCATCAGATGGGGTCTCAAGAGAGGGTTGTTGAGTGGGATTAGAGTCTGGTGAAGGACCTGCACTTACTTGTTCAGCCTCTCTTTTTGTAGAGTGTGCTGATAATGTCTCTAACCCCTTTGCTGGTTTCCCAGCTGCAATCTGAAGCACTGTTGGATTGAGTGTCCTGGTTTGGTGCAATGCAGGCAAACCCTTTTCTTCATCCTGTGTTTCCACCAAATTTCACTAATCCGGAGATTTACCCATGGTTTTGTGGCAAGATCCTCCGGTTTGGGTGGAATCTTTGCTCCCTTGGGGAGGTGAATGGTGTTAGTGTTGTTTTTCACTGAGTTCCTCGGCCTTTTACTTTTGAAGGCATTCTTTTTAAAGCCATTCATTGATTCATCATCATCTACATAGTTGGACTCATGGGCTGACGAAGAGCAAGATACCTCGCAATCTTGCTTTTGATCGTCACCAAGAGAAGGGTCCTCTGCCAAGGCCTCCTCGTCAACCTCAAGTTGATCGTGCACTGCAAAACGGTTGCTGTCCGGAAGCCGTTTGCGGCTGGTGGTCTTTTTGTGACCGCATCCACCCGGGAGGTCTTGTGCCTCCAGCTTGACTAAATCCCGCATGAGGGAAAGCCAATCTGTATATTCCGCAAGTTTGAGCCCCAGGCGATTTGTTACAGTAGAAGGAACCGTACCTTTAATCACATCCAAGCAAGACTGCGCAGTTATCTCCATATCAGGAGTAGCAAAGAGTTTACTAATGTATTGCTGCAGACTATGCATGGTGCTCGCCCACTTGCCGTGCTTGAGCTTGTCAAGCTTGATTCTAGCTTTAGCTGCAGCATGTGGATTAACATATTGCTTGATTAGGGGATCCTCGAGTGTGGCTATTGGCATAGCCTTCAACCATTTGTTCAGGTCTATTCTCTTATATCCTGACTGTACATCTTGGACTTCTATGAAGCTTCTTATGGCGGGTTCCACATGGGTCCTTAGGACTGACGACTGATTAACCGGGGGTGTCCCCAACACATCAAAGTAGGCAACTTTTTGTCATATTTAGACGGGATCTGTGTCACCTTCTTGTCTACGTAGGGAAAGCTGCAGCTAGGACCAGCGATTGCTGGCTCCGAATTCGGGGCTGCAGCAATTCCAGAATGCCCTGCACTGGCACTTGCTACTGCAGCAGCAGCAGCAACAGCAGCAGCAGCGGGGTCTAGACCTGCTGCAAGTCATGATAGGCTGTTGACCACACTCAAAGAAGATGAAGAAAAATAAGACACAATTAGAGGGGCAGGAACGAACTGGCACGCAGCATTAGAAGCAGGGTAAGTCGACGGAAGGATAATCTGGGCCGGCTGCATGTTAGCAAACTGTTGCAGCTGGTCACGGTGGTGCTGCGCCATCAGGGCCATATCCTCGCACAACTTCTTGATGTCCTCAAACACTTTTGCGAGTTGGCCGGTATGGTCCTTAACAACCCGAACATCTACTAAAGCCCTGAGAAGTGGGACAATCTTCTCTCCCACCTCAGCGTCAGTTAAACCACCACTCCCCCTCATTGCCGAAAGTCGACTTCCCGGGGAGTTAGGGCCGAAAATGGAGGGGGGTCGGCGACCTAAAAAAAAAAGTCTTTTTTTTTCGGCGCGCGGTTTTGATTTCAGGCGCTGGACTTTTCATTTTCTTTTAGGGGAAAAAAACAGAAAAAAAAAACACGCAGTGAACCTTCCAGCAGAAAACGGAAATGTACACCGCAGTCATCCATGCGTGTCAGGGGCAGTGGATTCAAGCATGAAATGGGGTGGCACCTGCAGTTACGTTTTCGTTTTTTTTTTTGCAGAGTAAAAAAAAACAAAAACAAGAATGAAGAGAGGGAGAAGAGAGACAAAGTAAAGGCTCATGAAGCTGTTTTCAGTACCGTGCCCGCCTTAAACCACCGCTACTACCCCCGACGTCGTAAAGGAGGGGGGACCGGTAGGCCGAWRKTRRWATWYYAMYWTCGGCCTACCGGTCCCCCCTCCTTTACGACGTCGGGGGTAGTAGCGGTGGTTTAAGGCGGGCACGGTACTGAAAACAGCTTCATGAGCCTTTACTTTGTCTCTCTTCTCCCTCTCCTTCTCTTCCTCTTCCCTCTTCAATGCTTTCTCATAAAAGAACAGGTACTAATGCTTTCTCATATTGCCCGTACAGGCCCTAGACTAAGACTGGATGGACTGGTACCCGCCTAGGCCTACCGCTACTTGGCCTCTAAAAATGCCAACTTTGTCTTCTTCTGCTCGGCCTCGAGTACCCGCACATCTACTTCTACTTGGTGTGGTACCGGCCTACCTGCTACTTGAGTGTTTTTCCGCTGCTCTAAGTGCCACCCTTGCTCTGCTACTTGATTGTTTTCCCTGCTGCAACCCTCAATGTCACGGCCACAGGTAAGTACCTGCCCTACGGGCCTCCTAAACAAGCAAGTACCCTTGCGGGTCACACACACACTCATGCCGACAAGCACTCAGACAGGCAAGCAGGTCACCAAGCACGCACACACACACAGACTTAGAAAACTCAACAGAATGCGGGAATCTCAGCAAGGCATCCATTCCATCGGCAAAACTCAGAAATCAGCAGTGTTCTCAGTCTGTGTTATGGCGGGTCATTACACCATAGACACCTGAAGAAGGCGAATAGCAAATATGTAATAATACATAGACACCTGAAGAAGATGAAATGGCAAATATGTAATAATACCATAGACACCTGAAGAAGACGAAATAGCAAATATGTGAAGTACTTTTCAGCACTCGCAAGCCGCCTTGGCCGGCGGCGGCCGGCTCCGTGCAGCAAAGACCTTAGCCCATGAGCGAAGCTTGAATTTGGCAGCATTTACCATAGCCAGAGAAGGGCGAAGTATACATCACATCTTTCAGTAGTAAAATGCTTTGTTGAACCAGTTTGACTGATGTTTTCGCAGTTTTGAAAAACGAAATTCGTCACAAACAGTTCCGCAGAAACATTTGTGCGGATTTTCCTACAGCTCCAATGAAGAGTAACCGAGCATCTCACGAGACGGTGACAGCCATGCAGCACCGGTATGAAGTCAAAGAACATCCCACTCTCAACGATCTTTTTGAGATCGATTTGTCTTGATGTCTTTAAGTAAGTATATATTACAGCAATCACACTAAGAAGGTAGAAAATTTATGAAAGGAGTGAAATTTGATGTGGCAATGTATTGAAATCCTGCGTATCTCATCTGGACATGATAACGTGGCTGTGAACGTGTATAGTAACGTATGTATGAATGCTACCTACAGTCTTCACTCGAATAGAACGCCTGGTCATTGTGTCTGTACAAAGACTGAAAGTTGCTCTAGATACAGATATAATGACTGGGCGTTCTGTTGGATGAAGACGGTAGTAGTGAATGTGTCTACTCGTCTTCCTCCATGTCTTCGCTGAACCTCTCTCTGACCCGTTGTTTGACCCTTTTCTCAAGTTTTATCCTGGACTCACAGAGGCCATACTGACAGTAGATTTGTCTGGACCGAATGTCTAACTGGTGGGTGTGTCTTTTGGAGTCTGGGTACAGGTCTGGGTCTGCAAGCTCTAAAGAGAAAGACCAAGAGAGGGTTGTAAGGGACCCAAAATGTACGTTGCATTCCTAGCTTATTCCTTACATCCCCCCTCCCTTTTGCTGTATCAGGTTGTGGGTGTGTATCAGTTGCCCGCGTTATTCAACCCCTTCCCTCACCCCCTCTCCCGCGCACTGCCCCCCCTGACCTTCCCCAACCCTCAACCCAAGAGATACTCCGGCAATTATCAGTGTGTGAATGGTGGGGAATGTGGGTTAACCACATACATATTTCAGCTAAGGTTAACCACGTACATAACTCAGCTAAACCACTTGCTATGAACGGCAAGTGGCAGAGGAAATAGGGAATCGACAGGGGGAGTGACACGTGGGTTAAAGCCTCTGTATGTATCTGTCTAGCTGTACGTCTGGTTGTCCATTCACCTGGTTTTGTCAATTGCATTGTGTGTTTGGTTGTCTTCTTGGAGCTCCATCTCTCCTGGCTTCTCTCTCTCTTCCCCCTCCTTTCGGATCTTCTTCTTTATTGGTCTTTCTCCTCCTCCTCCTCCTCCTCCCTTGCTTCGACCTATCTAAGCGCAAAGAAGCCCTCCATCGGTCCCATCTGTCTGTGCTCTAACCTCAGAAAATGTATTATGAGGCATACTGTGACACCAACTTGTTGGACACTTTTGCCCGCCAATCCATGGTTGTAAGGATGAGCGTTCTCAGCCTGACAGAACTGGTTTGCCACAAGGTTTCAGCATCTTCGTTCTTTTTTCCTTGTTTTGTTTTGCTTTCACTTTTTCACTGAACAGGTTACTCTGTGTTCATTTGTGTGTTCGGTGATTGATTGCATGTTTTTTCGTGTCTTTGACTCTTTGCTGAGTGATTGCATGTTTTTTTTTGCTTGTCATACTTGATAGCTTGCACATGTTTTGTCGTGTGTTCTGCTTGTTCTTCATCCAGTGAACGGCGTATGGGTCGTTATCACCCACCCTCTGAGGGCGAGAGTTTTCCGACCGTGCCATCATGGACCTGATGAGAGTTGCACAGAAGCCTGCGGACAGTTGCCGGAATTTGCAATGCCGAATGTGTCACAGAATCACACTGACAAGAGCGGAGTGCCTTCGCAAACAGACCGAGGAGACAGAGGAGTGAGTGACTCAAGCGGATGTATAGCGTGTGTAATTTTCTCTTTTCTGTCTGGCCTTGACAAAAAACCTCTTCCTTGTTGTAAGGGATGCCATTAACCATGCGTTTTTTTTTTTTTTTTCCAAACATCTACAGGCCCCATCTATTCTGGGGGGCAGTCTGGTTACTTGTCACCGGCAAGCAAGGAGGCACAAGTGGTAAAGAGAGAGCAATGGACAGCCTTTCCCTTGTAGCACTAGATGCCTAACAAGGGGGGGGACTGCTATGAGTCAATTCACTCTCCAGGCCCTATCCTTCCCTCAAGGGGTGCTTCTGCTGGCCGGGAAGCTTACTGGCAGCACCGAGTCACGCAGCAGACGGATCCCAAGGGAGAGAGGGTAGTGGGGGGCACTCGTAGCAGTCTCTCAGGCCGCATGTATCGTCCCTTCCCTCAAAATGCCGAAAGCCTTGTTACTCAAACCATCCTTCTACATTATCTATGCCTACGCTACAGCATCCCTTTCCTTACCTGTCCAACTCCTGTATTCCTCTCACCTTGTCTCCCCACATTTTGTTCCTCTCATCACCTTTACTTCATCACCTATCCTGCCTCTATGCCATAATGTTTTTTTTGTTTTTTTGTTTTTTTTTACAAAGGTCCCGGGTGTAGTAGAGGGTGGATGCCAGGCCTCAGGAGGTGCCCGTAGGACTCTTCCATTGGGAGGTCAGATGGATTGCGAGGACCCGTTGGAGTCACCTCAAGGTGGTACCATGATGCCATGACCTATGCGAATGCTCAGATCGCAAGTCATGATCTGCGCTAATGCTTACCGGACTGACTCGAACGTCTACGTGCAGATACTACCCTAACTCTAATCTTAAGGACGACCTGGGCACAGGTGGGGTCCACCACGGTCATCCCCCATCTGTGCCTCATCCCACAGACTCTATGGGTAGCGAACCAGCCTTTACTAAGATGCGATATCCCGCCCTCCCCTATCCTAAGCATGATGCCTTTCCTACCCAAGGCTCCCCAAGGATTCACAACCCCATCTAATTCCCCCAATGAGAATTCCCACGGTCACCAACCTGGATGAAACAGCACACACAGGCATCGTGAGATACCCGTGGGATGAAGAAGTGCCCAGCCTCTACCCTGTACTAGCACCAAGTGTGCGCGTAGGATTATCCCCAAGAGGGGCCCTACTGTAGTTCGCTCTGTGTGGACTCTTGTACGGGTGCCATAGTGACGGGAGACGTACAAGCTGTACCCAGGCTCTACCGTGGTACCCCCACGGACTCGTTCAGACTGACGAAGCTGACAGATCGGAAGGTCCAAGTGGCCACGCAGAGGTATCGGGTTTCTGATAGTCTTACAGAGGACCAAGGGCCCTATCAATGACTCTATTGTTATAGTTACCAGTGGTCTAGGCACTAAACTCTCCCCTTAATCTACCCTTTACCCCCCGCCTGCCCCATCCCCGGCCCATGGTGATGACAAGATAAGACCCAGATCATCAGACCCCCCTAAGACCAAGCATACAAGCAGCCCTCCCATGGCCCTATCCAGCATAATACAACCATGGACCCAGACCCCTTGGGCAGTGCGCAAGCAGTGTCTGTATAAGCTTACCATGTGTCGCCCAAAGGGGGGGGTGTGAATGGCTTGTGCGCTATGAAAGCGCTGTTGGTGTACGTGCGCGAGGCAACATAACTAGTCTATCTTTTTTTTTTGTAGCCCTGGCTGTATGGAAAACAGCCCAGGTAGTTTTCTTTTTATTTGATATAAAAACTAAGCCATATTCTTCTGTCAATTATACCTCATGCTGTGTACCTAGTACCTACGTGTCTAGGAAGCGGGCTCCATGTCTAAGTTCCAGAAGAAGGGCCTACGGAAACCTACCAGCCTAGTAGTTTGTTTATTTTATTTCATGTTGTAATTGTGAGGATTGAGCCCTCAAGTAGGGACCTTGGCCAATGTTGGCATATGCGGGCATGCTGCGCTAATGCAGAGCAGGCTGCGCTAAGAAGAAGCAGGGCAGCGCTAGGCGGTAGGGCGCTGCCTGCTTGCAGGGCACTGGCGGCCATAGCCGGGCCGCAAGAGGGTGCAGGGGAGGTGAGGGCGAAGGTGGTACTTCGGAGGTGAAGGGCGCTGTGTGGGTAACAAGGGAGATGACACGTACCTGGTGATGGTGGAGGTCTGCATTGGTGTTGACATCATCACTTGCTGGTCGTCAAGTTGTCTGGTTGCTGTTCATTGCTGTAGTTGTAGGATAGGCTGTAGAGTAGATAGGGTGCCTGGCGCCATTCACAAGAGAGAGCTACATTTGGGTTATGCTGTTGGTGTTGCCCTGGTGGACATGGACATTGACTCACGATTCTTCTGTATCATTCTCAATGGGATGGTTACTCAGTTCCATGTGCTATCTGCTTTGGCTTTGAATACTTGGACTTCAGTGTGATTTTGCATTCTGGATTTCAGTGCTTCGTCCATACTCATGTTCCTTGCATAATTTTTATTCTATTGTGTTTGTTTTAAACCACCAGTACCTTTGACGCTTCCCTTGCTGAGCCTGGAAATGCCCTGCGCGCCCAAAAAAAAAGGAACTGACGCGGGCTTCCTTTTGGCTGGTTCCGCCAACCATTTTGCCCTGGGTGGTCAACCCACGAAACTTGCGGCGTGTTAACGGCCGTGCCGGGAAAAAATGGCTGGGTGAGATACTACCATCTTCCCCCGAAAATAAGGCATATGCGTTGTAAACGAATACAACGCATACCGATGCGTTATGTTCCAGTGAATGAGACCAACTTCGCCTGCACAAGGGGGTCGGGTCCAGGCTGAGTAGGCTCAGTTCTGGACCACGGCTGGGGGCCTCAGAGCCTTGGCGAAAAGGTAAAAGTAAAGTAGCGACGTACCTTTCCATGTTCTGGGTCGAGTTTCATTCCTTTCCCCTACTTGGGCCCTTGCTCCACTCCTCAGCAAATGTGCAAAATGCGAATGAATCTTCCACTAGACCGGGGACAAATACAACCCCTTTCTTTTTTGTCTCGGTGACCTCGGTAGTGCAGCGAGATCTTGGTGATTGGCTTTTCTATTTTTCCCCGTCTTGGCCGCGCCACGTTCTTGGCTGTCAGAAGTGCCACTTTCTTGGCTGTCAGAAGCGCCTTCGCGCACGGGNGAGCTGGTTTGATCGCCACTTACCTTTGGCACGCTGGCGTTATACAGACTTGGTGCGTTGATGATGCTTCTTCGCAGTGGGTACTTGTGACGTCAGGCCACTATTGGTGCATGCCCTGGGTAGAGAGGGGTGCACCGGAGGGCTATTGAACGACATTATTAGCCGTGGGATACAGCGGAATGTTTGATTGGTGATGAGAGCATGCTGATGTGACATTGGACTAAGGTGGCACCGCATTGCGTTGTGGGTGGTACCGAGGTCATGACCGGTCATCAAATGCAACATCAGCTCAATTGGTGAGAAATCTGTGGTTGGGGGCAGCTATCTCCAGGTACGTTGTTCCCTTACCTTATCTACTCTCTCAATCTCTTCTTACCGTGAGGAAGTGAGTCCAACTTGAGAGTCCTCTCTTTTGGTGAGGTGTCGTGAGCGCGCTACCTTGAGAGACGACAATCTTCCCGGAAGCATACTGGAAGGAAAAAGGGCGGTGCCTCTGAAGGGCCCTGGTCGAAGCACTTGGGTCACGGTCACCATGCCAACCCACAGGGAGTAGTGCACGCATGCGATGGCTGTGGTCCTGTTTGGCTCTTGCTGCGCTAATAGAAGTTCCTCCGGGTGTGCCAGCCCATGACAGACGCTTACCAGACCGTCTATAAACATTTCTGGTTGGGAGTTCATTGTGATTCTGGCTGTGATCGTCGTCCTGACTGCGACGTTAAATAATTCCTGAAGAGATGGGGGCGCTCTATAAATCCCTCCTGATCAGCCAGATCACATGGACAGGAAGGCTCGTCGCCGTACGAGGGTAAATAAGAGTGGTTGGGCTGGCTTGCTCGGTGACAACTTGGGCACAGGGGTGGGCCGATTCACACACGAAGACACTGCTCGCTCAATGATGCTGTTCGGTATGTTGGATGGAGGGGAGGGTAGGTTCTAATTGGTGCTCAACWGTATACACAACCATACCYATMAATCATACATCTGCTACATTGTCTTTTGTACCTTTGATTARTTGGTGGACAGACTGCTAACACCTCACAGACAGATTAGTGTAGGACTGTTGTATGCTACCATAGTCAGTTCTAACTAACGCTGCTGTAAGTGAACAAGTCAAAGTGCATTTAGACTATGTAGACAAACTGTGTGAATGTTGTAGACATGCCCTTGATCGGTACAGTAGGGGAACTGCCGGACACAACCATTATTAGAAAATTAGGTGCCGGTCAGACACATGCTGTGGTAGGATTCCATTAGGGAGTTTTAGTGCAGACAATGTTTGCCTAATTCATGAACGGGTCAGACGTCGACGAGGAGGGAGTTGACGATAGTAGACTTACACGTGCAAGATCAAGAAGGATCCCGTACGTGTTCAGGACTCTAGACGAGGGAGAAGAAAGACGTCTTAGTGCCGAACGTAGAGCCCGTGCTCTCGCAGCRTCGAGAGAAGCAGCAAACCTTGCAGCTAGGGAGCAGGCTGCAGCAGCAGCCACGACAACAGCAATGGCTACCGCAGCAGCAACCTCTGCTGCAACCACGGTTGCGTCCTCGTCARGAACCCAGTTGGGAATGCCAACGGGGTCCTCGGGTATCTCCACTTTACTAGGGTCTAGGCCGTCTACAAGTCAAATGACGGGCGTGCAGTTCAGCCCGTTGACTCCTCGCGAGAGGGAGCTCAGGGAGCTTCAACATGTCGAAAGGATCCGTGAAAGATTAGAGAGGGAACTGAAACAGGCTACCGACACAGAAAAGGAGATCAAAAATAGAACAGCCAGGCTTGATACTCTAGAGACTGACAAGGCTGAGTTGGAGGGCTTGGACGATTCAGGAATGAATGAGCCCATGAAAGTGTTGAGGAACAACATGCTGTCACTACATGCGCATGTGGACAGCAGGTTGGACTTCATGCAGAACACTTTAGACCAGATCTTGGACGCTTTGATAAGGCCAGGATTCCGGCCACCAGCACAATCGCCGTTGCCGTTAACAACGATGTTAGGTCCCTTTCCCTTACAAGCTGGCACACATCCAAGTGGTACGTCTGCAGCAGTCTCGCAGACTGTTGCGTCTTCTTCTTTGGGTCCAGTGGTGAATGCTACATCACCACAACAACCTGTTCAGCAATCTGGACAGCAGCAAGGTCAATGGTACCCCAAGACCCCAATGAAACCGCCTCTTGCCTTCTCAGGTGAGAGAAAGGACGAGGGACTCAACACATGGTTGAGGACGGTCCCGGTTTGGGTGAAGGCCAAAAGGACCTTGCCAGAGGATGAGGTGGTAACTGCGGCATCTTACCTAGAGGGTAAAGCAGCCAAGTGGCTAGATGGTGAAGTTGTGAAGGTCGGGTACGGGCGACGCATGGTGGATTGGGCTAAGTCTTTGACCTTAGACCAATTCATGGAGATGGTAGAAGCTCGATGGCATAACCCACAGGAGGCTCAAAGGGCCACTGATGCCATTAACAAACTTGACCAACGCAAGTTCAGGTTAGTTAGGGAGCTTACGACTACCGTAGAGGGCCTGATCCTCGTCCCGGGCATCAATTACAGTGACCAGTTCTTGTTAACAACTTTTGTTAGATGTATTCCAGAGAACATCAGGAACTTACTGGCCAGTGAGGCACGCACCGAGTACCACTCGTTTGAGACATTGTCTAGGAAGGCCTTAGACTTAGAGGCAACACTAGGCAATGCTCAACCCACCTCAGGGAA